AGAATATATAAGGTCGCTCAGAGTGAAATACTTTTGTGCCTGTCATGGGCTCAACATCATGGCTTACACCAAAATCATGAAGCTGCAAATGTATTTTTAGAGACTAGTGTGTCTTTTCCTCTTGAATTACTCCAGCGAGGTGTGCTTGGAGCAGTGTGTCATTCTGTCTAATGTGCTTTCAAGATCGGTGAGGCACTTCAACCTCTAAGTGATGCTTCAGCAAAGGCTGCACACACATGCTTGCACACGTACAGCATGCGTGCGTTTAAAGACTTGGTACCAATTAAACATCCTACAGGAAAGCAGTGGAGTTATCAGAGCTGGCCAGTAGCATCTCAATGCCTTGTAGAGGTGGCAAATGACTCATACTGCTAGGTCACGGTATGCCATCAGCACCACTCTTTTAGATCTAGGTGTATCCGGCCCACCTCAGCAGAAGGTAAAGCAACCTCAAGGCGGGGTTGTAAAAGGGACATTAAGAGCGATTCTGGAGAGGGTCCCCCAAAGGGCATAAGGAAAAGCAACACAAAGGCATTTAATCATTGCTGCAAAACTGCACCCTTCTCAGGTGCTCCACTTCTGTGCCATGAAGAAAACAGCAGCAAGCAATCGGCATGGCCCCAGCCACATTATTACAACAGTAATGGAGCTGTAACCTTAGTTTCAGTTATAAAAATGCATTTATGGCTCCTCTCGGTGGGGGTGACAGGCATGGCACCAGAGGCACAGCAAAGTGAGCTAGGAGGACACGGACAAAGAGGTCTCTGGATCACGTGGCCCAGAGGGCAGGGTGTCAGACGGGGAGTCAGGAGACCTGCGCTCTGACTCTGCTGATGACTTGCTGTGTGACCCGGGGTAAGTCGCTTCGCCCAATTCCTCTCTCACTTTTTGTCTAGTTAGACAGAAATGTTGGCAAAGCCCTGCCACAGTCATCATAAGTGCGGGCCTTTTCACTGATTCTGGAGCTAAGTGACAGACCTCGGATAGCAAGACTGCTTCAAGTGGCTTGTGTGGCCTAAAAAAGCAAGGAGCCACATTTACATTTCAAAGTAAAACCTGTAAGGGGCAAGAGACTGGAATACCCAAGAAGAGGCAGAGGCACTGAACACATGAGAGTCTTGAGGGGTGTGCGATAAGTGGGGGTGTGAAAAGCAAGCTACCGTCAACGCACCCAAGGGGAAGGAGGTGGTGCAGATTCACCCAAAAAAACCCAGGCACAGATGAGGCCTGGGGGACCATCCTCACCACCATAGGAAGACCTGCAGATCCCCCCAGAAGGACTTTCTGTATATCTGGCTGCAAGGAGACACTCTGTCCTCTGAATACACAAGATCTTGAGGGATAGCCAGCACGGGTTTGTTGCGGGGAGGTCTTGCTTGACCAGTCTCATTTCCTTCTACAACCAGGTGACCTATCACCTGGACAAGGGAGAAGAGATTGATGTCATATATCTTGACTTCAAAAAAGCCGTCGATCTGGTATCCCATGATCGCCTCTTGGCGAAACTGGCCAATTGTGGCCTCGACCTCACCACGATCCACTAGCTGGGGAATTGGCTCTGTGGTCGGACCCAGAGGGCGGTGGTTGACAGAAGTCAATGGTCGTGGTGCCCTGTGACCAGTGGGGTCCCCCAAGGCTCTGTCCTTAGACCCATATTGTTCAACATCTTCATTAATGATGTGGACATTGGAGTCAGAAGCGGACTGGCCAAGTTCACCGATGACACCAAACTTTGGGGCAAAGCATCCACACCAGAAGACAGGCGGGTGATCCAGGCTGACCTGGACAGGCTCAGCAAATGGGTGGACAAGAACCTGCTGGTGTTCAACACCAAAAAATGCAAAGTTCTCCACCTTGGGAAGAAAAACCTGCAGCATGCTTATAGGCTCGGCAGTGCCATGTTGGCTAGCACTACAGATGAAAGGGACTTGGGGGTCATGATTGACCACAAGATGAACATGAGCCTGAAGTGCGATGCTGCGGCTAGTAAAGCGACCAAAACGCTGGTGTGCATCCATAGATGCTTCTCAAGCAAATCCCGGGACGTCATTCTCCCCTTGTACTCAGCCTTGGTGAGGCCGCAGCTGGAGTACTGCGTCCAGTTTTGGGCCCCACAATTCAAGAAGGATGTGGAGAAGCTCGAGAGAGTGTAGAGGAGAGCCACACGCATGATCAGAGGCCAGGAAAACAGACCTTATGACAACAGGCTAAGAGCCATAGGGCTCTTTAGCCTGGAAAAGCACAGGCTCGGGGGGGATCTGGTGGCCACCTATACGTTTAACCGGGGGGACCACCAGTACCCGGGGGAAGGTTTGTTCACCAGAGCGCCCCAAGGGATGACGAGGTCGAACAGTTACAAACTCCTGCAAGACCGTTTCAGGCTGGACATAAGGAAGAATTTCTTTACTGTCCGGGCCCCCCAGGGCTGAAACAGCCTGCCACCAGAGGTGGTTCAAGCACCTACATTGAACACCTTCAAGAGTAAATCGGATGCTTATCTTGCTGGGATCCTATGACCCCAGCTGACTTCCTGCCCTGTGAGCGGGGGACTGGACTCGATGATCTCCCAAGGTCCCTTCCAGCCCAAATGTCTATGAAATCTATACAAGGCTTTCCATTGTCTTTTTGGTTTATGTTGCATTTGAAGTTAGGCTAAGCTGCGTGCGCTGTCCCTGCGTCTTGGCTTAGGCAGAGCTTTTCTGTTGTTCTTTGTCTTCTGCTTGACATTGCAAATTGCTGTCTTCAGAAAACAGACTAGTCATGTTCAAGCACGTACGAATTCAATGACGCTACTCAAAGTCTAATATTAGGTCTGGTAACAGTAAACCGTTTGAGGTAGAGACCATTTCACTAGTCTGGCATATCATTCAATTCTGATCTCATTTGGGCCTATTAAGCCTTACTGTAATACTGAAGGGCGTATAATTAGAGCCATAGCTTATTTTCAATAATTCACTAATAATACTATAATAATGTAGATATACTAGTTGTTAGCTCAACTTCCAGGTCTTGCTGAAATGAAAGAATTGCTTGAGTTCTGTTATCCCAGCTATCTGTGCCATTTCAAAGCCACTTCATGGACTTAAAGGGGGGGGGATTATGTGCAGTTAGATCTCTTTATAAACTGATGCCGTCAACAGCCTGCTCACATCGACAGCTAAGCAATTCAGTCTATAGCTATCCTACTCCGTCAGACAGAAAAACAAAAGGGAACAGTCTTTCTTGCAGTGAATCACCCTCCTCTCAAAACAAGGACGCTTGCAAATTTAAAAAGTTTTATTTGATTGCCATTCACCACTTCCTTGTGCCTCCAGCTGATTGTGCTCCTTCAGCCTCAATGCCTGGGAGAATTCCCTAACAGTCTACAACCTAGCTGTAGTTTATATTCAACAGTGCACATGGACATTTATAAAGAGAAAAAAATGCAACCATTTGCTTGGATTGTTACTCCGCACTGCACTTGTCTGGGCCAGTCCAGTAATTTTAGCAATGTGTCTCTGGAACCAGTTTAAAAGGGGATTCAGGGTGGTTACAAGGGTTTACAAATCCATCCTTTCAGACACTGACTTCAGTTGTTCCCAGAAGACACACCCCGCTGTTACTGCTTGGCTGGGATGTCCCATGACACTAAAAGCAACATGGGACTTTTTAAAGTATGGAAACAAGTTCAGTTTGGATACATGGTCTATATCCTAAGGATCGGCCAGCTGTACCGTGGGTCCTTATGCTATATTTTAATCGGGTGCGGATTAGGCAGTTTCAATCTTAAAAAAAAGAAAGCTTAGAACTTCGAGTTGAAAAGGTCAAAAGCAATTTCTAATATTTATTAAGTCACAATGCAAGCTCTAAATATATGAGTGCCTATAATACTGATCTCATAAAAATGATACACTGCCAGTCCTGGAGATACATTTATGAAGGGGATTAATAGACCTATTCTATGGTATAAAGATATTGTAAAATCAGGTCACTCCGCCCTGTATATAAATTGTGGTCCCTTTGCAATATATCACTAGATCTCATGACAAGGAAAAAATTCTTTCCACTGAATCCATTGAAGTCACAATTTAACATGCCAGCACCAGCAAACACTAGTCTCCGAGCACATATTGGTCTACTCCCCCAAATCACTGTGCAATTCTTAATACACTGGGCAATCTCAGTTTGGAAGAAATATTACTAGCAATGGAATAGCAAGACAGCTGCATATGGCAGGGAAAAGGTACCTCGTCCACATCATTATTCCTCTAGGGAAACCTGTACCATGCATCTTTTCTATAGCAGCCACTAGGTCACCACTAATCCACTCAAGAGGTTTAAGAGTATTAATCTTGAGCATACCGGCACTGGCCAACTTGCCAGCTAAATGAATATAAAGTTCAGTTTTACAGAGTTAATAAGCCAGCATTTTTTTTCAAATCCTCCCAAGCCCAAAGCAAAAGAAGGACTGAGGACCGTGATTTCAGACTTATTAAATGTGCTTTGCAAATCTAACGACAAATACCAAATGCTCGTGTTTAGCTCTGGTCGGTCCAAGCTATAAAAACACCAGAATTCAAGAAGTGCCTCTGTGAATCACCCTCTTTGATACACTCGCCTCGTTCTTTGTTTCATTTTGAGGGCATTGGGCAAGGCCTTTCTAGGCATGTTTGCTTATTTGGGACCATTTTGCCCTGTTATTCAGATGAAGGAACGGTTTGGTGGGGTGGGAAGGAGAAGCAAAGAACAGAGGTTAGTCTGTTGGTGGGGGGTTATATATTTTGCATGCATGGCTAGTCCGAGTCACTCCATCAAGGTTTAAAGTGGCATGTCTGTGCATACTCATACACACATGTGCACATGCACATTTCTGCATAGCAATCCATGCTTGCAGAGATGCGCCTTGTAGAAAATATGCACATATCTACAAACCAGGATTTGACCCCGAGTAAGAACACCTTATCTATTCCAGGCTAACTTGGTGTTTGGAGGGGGGCAGGTTCTCAAGACAAAACACCTACCATTTTGTAAAGCTGTGCTTTCAGCCGGTATGAATTATATTCCGATTTTCTTTTCTCTTCCTCTCGCCTCTTCCGCACCTCTGGCAGCTGCTCGTAGATCCTTAATGTAAATATAAAAGACCAAAGGGTGACTTGGGAGGGGGAGAAAAACTTGTTAAAAGAAAAAAAAAATCCCCTGATCTTTGCCTTCATGTTTTGTTTTGTTTTTAAAGGTTTCTGGCCAATCATAAGAAAGGGACATATTGCTGTCAGGCATGGCACCATCGACAGCCGTGGTACTAAAGTTCCCACATCCCACATGAAAGTATTGCCCCCTAACAGCTGTATTTCAGGGAACAAAATTGCTGCCTGGCTCCAAGTGCTGCAGCTGGAAGTGCAGCTTGCAGCAACACAGCAGGAAACAATACCAGTGTTGAAGGTAGACTGGGTGCCAAATATTAGGGTCACCTCTACACACCAGGTACTTCTGTGGGGAGACGCACACGGTGCCCAATCTGGCAGACTTGTCTTTTATAACTGAAGATCCAGGGCAGAGGTGTCAAAGTCACCTTGTGCCCCGGGCAAAATCTGGACCACAGGGCTCCTCGTGGGGCATGAAGCAGCAGTGGTGATGGCAACAGCTCTGGCTCTGACCTGGGACACGTGGCAGCAGCTTCAGTCTCTGCTGCCCACCCCGTGCCAGAGCCGGCTCCAGCATGGGGCACATGGCAGGGGGTGGCAGCTGGGGAGAAGGGATGCAACACTGGTGACGGATGAAGCAGCTGGAGGGCAACCGGGACCCTTCCCTGCAACTGCTGATAACCTGCCAGTAGCCCAGCAGGCCGGCTCCATGGACTGGATCTAGTCTACAGGCCATATATTTGACAGCCCTGATCTCTAGAGCCAGCATTTTTTTTTTCCTCCTGACATTTAACCACCCCACACCAGGACTAGAAGCAATGGGAAACCTTGAACTCGGGAAACATGAGGATTAGGATTCTTTAGGCCTGGTGAGGCTGCCCCTGCTTCAGAGGGCCCAAGATCCTGGTCTCCATTCTACACGCTGCCCATCTGCAGAGGGTAAAAACACTGCATCCTCTTCTTTGAAAGCCACAGCAGCTGTGTTCACCTTGTACTCCCCAGGGTAGATACAGCGCTTGTGCTTGCTTTAAGACTCTGTGCTTGCTTTAAGACTACAAGGTTCTGCTGATTTCACGGCAGTGGATACCAAGAGCTACTTGGCTCCAGTAATAAGAGGCTTTATGGAAACTGTCAATCAGCCTTATTCTCAAGTACCAGAAATCTGATACTTAAAACCAGACAGACTCCTTTCCACACACACACACACACACACACACACGACACTGTGCTTGCAGCAAGTTTCTGCTCAATGCTACACCGAAAAAGCATGTGTGTTTGTACAACGGATTTAAATCACATCAGCCATGTACTGCCATAGGGGGAACTGGAAGCAAATTTTCCCTTCATCTGGTTCATTTGAAAGGGCTTCATCGGATTGTTTTGGAAAGAAAACACGTACAGAGCCGCAGAGCTGGGCACGAGCAGATGCATCTCCCGTGGAAGTCTGCTAATTTCAGCAGAAACATAAAAAGGTACCATAAGATAGCGAGAGAATGGACGAATGGGCAAAGCTTTGCACTGATTTGATATTCAGGAGGTATGACAAAAATACAAGCGGCACGTTATTGGGTCGAGAAGTGGTAGAGGTGACTGGTGTAATTTAAAGCAGGCTCTTCCAGCTTTAAATCACACTTGTGTTATCTCCGCCACTCCTAGTCCAATCAGCGCTGAGCTGATTCCCATGATACCTCTAGGGCCAAGCCTAAGAGATTCAAGATTACCCTCATACCAATGCATCAGGAATGCAGCAGAATCAGCAATCAGTTCATTCAAGGGAAATTCTAGTGCAAACGTACCCTGAGAGAGCGGT